CAATTTTCACGTAATATCGATACAGAATTTACGTTTTTGGTGACGTAATTAGTCATACCCCCTGTCGCGTCCGGTCTTATCTTCCTGAGCCCCACGGTCTCCTCTGCAGCATCCTCCAAGTGACGACGCTTCCTTCTCTTCCTCGATGGAAGTCCCCCGGGTGTAGTCGACATCCCAACAATTTCCAAAATTTAATTCAAAAAGGAAAAAACAACAAAATTCTCCTCACTCTTCGCCTGCCTAAAGACGACTGCCACACCTTCCTTTGTTTTCCCACTTTTCGAAAAACCCAAAAAAAAAAACAAAATCCCCCCTTTCCCACTGTGGCGTGATCCGTCACCGCAGAGTCAAATAAAATTTTCAAAAATGCATAGGCAACACATTTTACCGAATAATTAAATACAAATGGTACGGTTACAAATGTAATAATAATTTCACTTAATTTTGTATGTGTTAAAATTATTTTTTATCTTGAGGTAGTTTTATTAATACTAATTCTCCACCTTCTAAGTTGTCTGCATTTTAAATTTCATAAAATGTTTTACGTGGGACACCCTGTATGTATAAAGTCTTCGTTCTTCAACAATTGGAAAAAAGCTTTACCAAATAGGATGTTGTATGACATTTTTGAAAAGCGTTTGTTATGAGTTTTCCATCGATCTATCACAAGTAGGGTAATGCCATTTCAAATTTTCAACTTGATGGGGTGGCTGTGGCTTCAAGACTGGGTGGAGGTGCATCACTTACCATGCCATTTTGATTCTCCCTAGGAACCGCCGAAACGGTTTTGAATGATTCTCAATAACTTTTTCAGTTCTAGAGATATTGCCGATTGCAAGTTTTAAAATTGACACCCTGTATACAATTTTATAGATACCCAAAATAAAAAATACTCTTACTTCTCTCATAATAAAATGAAGAGAAAATATTGTTTATAGTTTATCATACATTGAAATTTGATTTAATAATCTAATAATAATTTACGTTATTTTAATTAACTCAGAAAATTAATTAACACTTGATGATGTCTTGTTTAGATGTAAAGTCTGTTTTTTTTTAAATGGAAATGCCAAACAGTCTTAACGTTGGCACCACTGGTAATTTTAATAAAAGAAGTTGATAGTTCTGGTTTTTTGAATTAATTTGAAGACAATGTCATTAAACGTCAACACAGAAAATCGTCTAAGAAAATTTAGAGACGAAACACCAAAAAAGGAACAAATTCAGTACTTTGGAAACGAGTACTTCGCAAGCAGAAAGTTAGAACAAGGACCCGTTAAGATGTAGACGCAATTTGTAATGCAGGTTTGCTAAATATTCTTAATTTTTATCAAGAAATCGACAAGAATACAAAATAAACATGGATGAGAAAGAACCTTGGAAAGAACGCAATTAACTTAGTGTATTGTGCATCGTTTTTGAGGAACGAGTTGAAAAAGTAACAATTTTGAAACTAAAGTGAAGAAGCATTTTAAAAATGCATCAACTTTGAGCTCATTTCAATAAAGTACACAAAATTTATTGCCAATCATCATAATACCTACTTGTATCTTTTGCTAAATAATCCTTTTTCTTCAAAGTTTTTGTAGCAAGTCCTCATTTTTGTCCACAAAATTGTACTTACTTGCAGTGTGTTTTTATCAAAGTTATTAGCACTGAATTCTGTCTTTAGACATTGGGTAATGATGTCTGTCCTCAGGTGTTCAATTATAGTGCTTTCAAAGAGCAAACAGGCACACAAGATTCATAAAAGTCACAATTTTGACAACATCTGAATTTGAACGCATAACCATAATTTTTTAACAAAATTTCTAGGGACAAAAACAAAGAGCAAACAAAATTTGTGGCTATGGAGACAAGCTGCTACCAATTTTTTCACCAAAATTTTGACTTGGTAATTTCCATTTAAAAAAAAACAAACTTTAGTTACAAGATCATAGACAGTTGGTTATTATTAGTGCTATAATATTTAACCTCAGCCAACTATTTAATCCAAATTAACCGGTTCAGTCAATTAATAGTTAATCGGTTAAATTAGTTAAACGGTTAACTGATTAACCAGTTAAATGGTTAAACAGTAAATTCATATTTTCCCATATCCATATAAAGTAGAAATTATTATTAAATCATATATTTATACTATATTTGTGATAATTTCTACTTTATAAGTATATGGGTAAATATGAATTTACTGTGTAACCGATTAACTATTTAACTGGTTAATTAGTTAACCGTTTAAGTTAAGTTAACCAGTTAACTAGTTAATTGATTGAACCGGTTAATTTGGATTAACTAATTGGCTGATGAACTAAGTGTTAATTAATTGAAGGAGTTGTTTATTAATTTGTAATTTAGGCAACACAAAAAAATATGTATGTGACTCTCGCCGAAAGCCGCAATAACATAACACCCTTACTCGCGGCGCTCCGCTTGCGGCGTCGCGCCGCACTCTCGCTCGTTATGCTGTGCGTCGCTGTCGACGGTTGTTACATAAATAACTTATAAATACAATTAGTTTAAAAAAAACTACTTATTACTTTAATAGTTGTCCGTTGTGAAGAGGTGTCATGTCTCTTAATGGGAGGTGTGCGAAATAAGTAAAAGAAATTGAAAAGCCTTTTATTCAAAATAAAATAATAAAAATAGAAATATTACGAAATTAAAAGCATTATATAAAAATTAGGAAAAAGCATTTTTATTTGAAATAATCATTAACTTTTGTTTGTTTATTTAAACCAAAAGTTATTTGGGGCGATTAGTAGTACCGTGCGATCAAAAAAAAAAAAATTAGAGTAGGCGTCGATTAAATTCTACAGTTGGCAACACATTTGCTGGGAATCTGACAGGACCGGTGTTGCTGCAAACCATTTTCCTTACAACTGTATCATAATTTTGAAAGGGCGTTAACTTTAAAGCTATTAGCAAATTGTAATACTGTAAATATTTACTATAAACATCGAATAAATTTTAAATGTCATTCAATATCGGGAAATCAAGATAATTTGTAATCGAGTCATCCTTGGGTCCGAAAACGTATGTCTGTAAAACGTCAAATAAAGTGACAAGTCGAAAGGTAAAATGGCATGATCAAAAAGATGATGATTTTAATAACTAAATTTATGATTTACCTTTAAAAACGGTCTTGTTATTATACATCGGCGACTAATTCCAATCCATTTTGCTGTTTTACCTTTAGACTTGTCATTTTATTTGACGTTTCACGTGTAGTTAGTGCGTATACAGACATACGTTTTCGGATTCAAAGATGTCTCGATAACAAATTATCTTGATCTCTTGATATACAGGTGTCCGGAAAGTCGCGCACTTCCGTGACACTGTATCATCGGGCCTAGACAACAAGAAAAATGTTTAAAAAAATCTATCTATAAAAATTTCGAAGTTATGAGAGTTTAAATTTTGCACTTTGACTCAAGTTTTTTTGCTATAGGCTATTGGAAGAGGAAACAAGGAAGCTGTATCCTAAATTGTAACTCTGTTTACAACGGTTGGCGACATTTATGTGGAATAATTTTAGAAGGCTGTGAAAAATAAAAATATTCTTATTTTCACATTTGGAAATGAATAGTGAAGAAGGTCCGTCACTAAAATTAAATTAACTTACTAAAGCACTCAAATGACGTCGTTACGCGGCTCTTTTCGAAGTTTGTGCTTGATCACTACTATCGTTTTGGTAACATCCTGCTTTCGTTTCGGAATCACCATCTTCGCGAGCTTGTTATGAAAATAACTATTTCATGTTCTTTTGCTACAGACTGTTAGAAGAGGAAACAACGAAGCATACCTACCTAAACAAGATCATCGATAACAATAGACATAAAAAAATGTCAAATGTCAAAAAATGAATGTCAAAATTTTTTAACAGATAGAATTTTTTAAACATTTTTTTAATGTTCCTGGTATCTTATCTTATAGTGGATTTCATTGAAATTCGCATAATAGGTGGCTATGGAATTTCGTATTTAAATTTGTAACCCTGAGCATGTCCCTGATATAACAGCTGATGGGGTTTTTGTTTTTCTTTAATTACTTACCTACATGGTTTATTGAACTGACATGACAGACATTTGTATACGTTTTTTCACTGTTTTCGTTGCTTGTTCGTTTGTTATTCCCACTATTTTTTTAAATTATAATTAAAAGTGATTCTCTTCAGAACCCCAGATTTAAAGTATACGCTAAGGTATGTTTGAAAATATAATCAATTTCTTTTTGTTGGTCCTGTTTTAGACATTTTAGGTTAATGGGATCAAATATACCAATTTGAATTAAGCCAAATTACTTTATCCACAGCAAAACACGATTTTTCAGGCTTCAGTACGCGAAGCTTCATTTTGTACAGATTTTTTTTTTCCACTCCGAACTTTACCATTGTTTAAAAATTCACAATTTTGTCCTACATTTTTAATGACAAAATCCAAACCCCTTTGACTGCAACTTTCACAGAAAACAAATTGTTTCATCTCCGGTGTGAATAAAACGTCTTTTAAAATTCCTGGAAGCAATTTATTATCAAGTCAAAGTCTGTATTTTCTCCAAAGCAAATAGTGTGTTTTTGGAGTTAAAACTACACCTACAAAGGGATGAAACAGGATGTTAAACTTTTTATGGAAAAAAGTCTCTGAAAACCTCTAAAAGAGGGTTCTTTAAAAATAAAGTTTTAACTATCTTAACCTCACTTTTTTTAGTGACAAATTTAGTTCTTTAATATGTAAAGCCTTTTTCACATTTAAAGCGCGGTTTACACAATCATGGCCTACTGTTATGCCAATTTCAATGAAATGGATTATACTTGTATTTTTTTTGTCTATTAGCTACAAAACACCCAAAACACTTAATATTATTATTATTATTATTATTGTCAAGACATCTTATTGTGAACACCATTATGCTGTATAATCAAAACGTTTTAGGTGGCATAGTAATTGTTATTAGGAGACAGCGTGTGAAAAAATTATGTTAAGATAAACATACCTGGGTTATAGTTTTTGACATTTTTTTGTCATTTCGTTCAAAATTAAAAATTAGAATAGTAAATTATCTTTATTTTTGGATTCCCAGAACGGCAAACTAAAGTTTTTGTACAAAAGAAGTCACTTTGATTTAAAATGGGCCCTAGTCGTTGCTTCGTTGAATCGCACGCAATTTTGGCAGGAACTGCAATTTGTTGTTGGTGTGAAATTGGAAAAATACCTTTTTTTTGTTCTCACATGACGTATGCAACAGTTGCGGTAACGTCGATCATCGGAATGGAGAGATGGAACAGCATTGGTAACAAAACCGTGGAGAAGATTTACAAATACGCGATGTATTTCCAGTCATTGTTTGTATTGCCTTTGATTACGACTTCTGTGTGGATCAGCAGTAAATACAACATTGAGTCTTCTTTGCTGTGGACAGGACTGCCAATTTTTCCGTTTCTTTATTATCTGAAACGTGGACAAATAACCTTAGAAGTGGACGAATTTTTTAACGATTTGAGTTTAATTTCGTTGATAAGTGTCTCTCTCATGGAGAATAATTTTTATGGGGTTGCCACTGCTATTGCATATGACTTCGCACGATTTTTTTATAAATATGGAGAAGCTTTTAACATACAACAAGTGGCTTATAGTAATTACTGTCTGTGTTTCTTTCTATATTTTTCGCTAAAGGCACTACAGAGAGGATCCATTTTAGTGAAATAAAATTCTTTTGACTTGTTATTCTACTTGAATTAAAATGAAACAGAGAAGATGGGTCCATCTCATGTTTATTTAAACAGGATTTGTAACAAAAAATGAACAAAATCTTTTTGGTTTGAAGGAAAATGTGCACTTATAAAAACGCAAACCATTGTCTTTTCTTTTATTAATGATTTGTCAGAATTAATATTTATACATGTTGTACCTACATATTAAAAAGCATGATTATTCATAGAAACTTATTTTCTTTCAAGACGATTAAATCAGAACGATGAATGAAATAATGATTTTTTTACACGTTAGATAGAACGAAAGAGAAATTAATTATGATTCTCACAATTATGAGAGAAATAAAATACAACTCGGGTTGTTTTTATCAAAGAAGAACAGTATGGATAGTTTGACCTTTATTTTAATTTCGTCAAGCTTGAATTTATATGAGAGTAGAGAGTTTCGTGTGCCAAATTCTTTAATCAAATAAACTCTTTTGGGGTATTATGCAAGTGATAACTGCTGACTGGCCGAAACCGATTACCAAAATTAACATTTTCCGGTAATTTGTAAAGAACATAATCTGGAATGTATAATGTGTCCAGGTGTACTAGTTATATTACACTTTCTTTATAAATTTTTTCGACACGCGATTGCAACCTTGATGAATGAGTAATAAATAATATGTCTTTTATACATTACTTGTATGGACATTATTTCAAGTAATTACAGAACAAATTAAAATTGTTTAAATATTTACTCCACATATTGTTGATAAATTAGAGCAGTTCAAAAAGGAGTACATACATAAAAATAAACACACTCTAATTTGGAAATCAAAAAATGTTTTTTTTTTGTATACGCTCTCGTAAATAGCTGTTTTAGGGACTCATTTGAGTCTCTAAAATGAGTCTTTTCCGAACTCAATAAAACATGTATGTACTACGTAAAATGGTTATTTTAGGTACAGTCTCCAAAAACAGTTTTTCCGGACGAAAAAGTCAATTTGGTTTATGGTGGCGAATTGTTTTTAATTAATAGGTGTGAATTGAAATTTTTTTGCAGACTTATCTGCTATTCCAAACTCATCGGCTTCGTCTCGTCCGGAAACAACAACGATTCGTCCGCAAAAACTGTACTTGTAACAAAAATAACTATATTAGGTATAAATTTACTTTGATATTTTGTTTTGATTTTAACGTATCGTGTAAATTATTTAATATAGTTACGTTTAATTTTAAATATTACTCAAATTAATATTTGTGGCAACATATTATACCAATAGAATTCATATTTAACAAGATCATACATGTGTCCTAGATCCTAGTATGAAATCGTTAAACAACAATGAAAATTTCTTACCTGATCTTTTTTTCCTGTTAAAAGAATAATTTTCTGGAAAATTTTTGGATGAGATCATTTTTTTCGAACTGTGAATGGTTGATTTTGTCGGAGAAATTTTCCAACTCGAAGTGTCATCTAGTGGCAAACGCTTTAAATGTTGTTAGATTTATCCTAATTTCTGCTTTTGCGACGTCTCCTGCGCTTGCGTGTTTCTTATCTTATATAATGGCAACTAATTTAATTTGTGTCGGTACTCCACTTTCAATTTGCACTATATTTACCGAAAATTGCAGCACATTTTTTTTAATCTTCAAATTTAAAATGTAAGCCTTGTCTGTTTGTTGTGTGATGTTCTTTTTTGCATGCGATATGTTTCGGTGGGGTTGCGCTGCTAGTAGTAGAACAGGTGAGCAGGAACCGTGATTTTTCCTCTGATTGACCTTCGTCGCTTCACGTTGAACTTTTGTTGTCCCGGTGATCCCATGATCCAAATATTTGCGCTAATTATAATACTATTACCATGTGTCAACTTGGTCTTAGATGAAGTCGCGGATGCAACGCGACTTTCGCGTTTTGGCATTGCCAAGCTTGCATAATGCACGAGAAAAGGTGTATGTTATTTTTGGGGCTATACCCAGATGAGCTGTATTGTTGGAACGGTTCCTCTCAGCTGTTCTGTCGTGTCTGCTTGTGCCACTTGCTCACTCATCGCCGTCTGTGAAGTGTGTCTTAAAAACGCCACCACTGAGTATAATATTATCTCCCTTTTGCTTTCCGAAGTAGTCCCCGTTTTTGGAACTAACTCAAAATTTTCGGTAAGCTTATTTTAACTGACGCGTAATTTTCCGACTATTTTCGTTGTCGCTAATCCCTGATCCTGAATTCTTTTAACTGCATGTTGGATGATGAGAGCTCATGGTCGTGTTAGTTTTAGGTGCTTTCAATGGATGTTGGCTGATTCGGGCACGGGCCGTTTGCAGTCCATTTCTTCTGGTCTGCTTCCGGTCTTCATCTTCCGGACTTCCGGAACGTGGTGGGCTCCGTGCCAGATGCGCGTTTACACTGCACAGTTCTACAGAATTCTGTAAATGCACTATCTGGTACGACAGCCCACTACGTGCACTCGTCTCTTTTAATTTTCCTTCTTTTCGTTTTACTTATCACAAGTATTATTTCGCTTGCCACTAGATGTGCTCGCTTCATATCTACTCGAGTTGTGAAAGAAATTGAAAGTTGACAAAAAGCAATGATTTTGCTTTCAATTTTCTGTCAAATGTACGATCTTTTGTATTCTCAACGTTACTTTTAAGACTTTTTTTGTACGTTTTTATTGAAAATAAACAATTTTACTATAAGCGTTTTCTTATCATTGTTTACCCCCTTGTAGACAAATCGTGGAAAAACACCGCTTCATATGCATCTCATGAAATCGGTTATTTCTTTATTTTATAGCCATAAATGTTAGATAATATTTGATCGTGTTACGTCACATAGCAATGCATCATAATTTCGTTTGATAATGATTTAAGCGTGGGTGGGTTCATCAGCATAATATTATTACATTATCACATTTTCTGATTAAAAATATGCCATGTTTCATTTTTTGCATTCTTGCACAAATGCAAGTTTGAAATGGTTTAGTTTATTTTTTATTTTTGGCATCTGTCCATAATGAAAGAGTATTTTTTGTTTTTGTAAATATTTTTAGTGATACAAAAAATATACTTACATAATTTATTACATATTTAACATGTCTGTCCCGAACGAATGGTGAAATTACTGGATCGACACCAAAAATCCTCGGCGAAAATCAGAACTGTATCGTTTAAAGATTTTGGCAACAGCATGTGTCAAGGCCATCATATTTAATCGTTTCGTCATACTTGTAAGTGCATCCATAAATAATGAACAACATTAATACAATCACAATAATGCTTGGACAAATCGATACCAGAATAGTGTTTTCTTACTTCGTATCTACCATTTTTTATAGGTACTATACAGAAGGTATTTAAAAGAAAAAATATACAGCGTGTCATGAACGCATGTCATGAATTTGTAAGATCAATAATTTAGAACTAAAAAAAAAACAGCATTGACGACATTCTAGGGAGCATGTTCTCTAATTACCCTCTGGAATATTGTGAATGTTTTGAAATTTCATTAAAGGTAACAATCTATGCAAGGCATACGTTCATAACATTTTCAGAACACTCTTGATTTAAGTTCTTTTATAAACACCTTATATGAGGAAAGAAGAGATTTTGCCTTGAATTTTTTTATTAATGATTAAAATTATTTATTTAATTAGCTTGTCATACAGAGACAAAAACATGACACAATGATTGTTTTGAAAAATATTTATTTACGTTTTTGTATTTATGTATTTAAAGTGAAGATCAAAAAGGTTACATTGCTTTGAGATAATAGAATTGTCATCAAATACATACGTATATACATATTATGCAATTTCTAATCTTGGTGAGGTGTTTAATAGGTAATACGAAAATAATAATTAATTACGTACTTGCCAAAACAAAATTATTATATTTATAATTTTGTATGAATCTTACATCTGACAATGTACTCGTAAGAGGTTAGGAACTCACAAACAAACTAGGATTATTGGAACATACACAAAGTAACTTTATTATTATTACATACTTGTTCTGCTCAGAGGTGTAATTTGATAGAGTAATCAAAAAATGAAGAATGACTGGGAATACAGTTTTTTTACCAGAAATATTAGAAATATCCACAATTCCTAAAAATGAATGCATAGTTTTAAAATGGTGTTACAGAACACCAAAAGAAACAATTGCCGCAGATTACCGTCAAACTCCACTTCTAATCTTACAAAAACAAGCTTTCAAATTTCTGTAATTTTGTTTAAAAAAAGTCACAATTGTACAATGTACAATGAACAATGCAAGCTATTCAAAAAAGTTGATTTTGTGCAATTCTTAACAAAAAGATGTATTTGAACATGGCGAAACAGCACTTGGGACTTTATGACTTTTATCCACAATCACATTATAAAGTCAGTTTAACCACACTTATGAAGCATATGAAGTACCACTTTATCCACTAGTTGAGTAATGAAATTACTTTTTTCCACTAGTGAAATAATGAAAAATACAATCTTAAATTACATTTTATTTATTTGTTATTAATATTAACATTAATATTCACAGACATTTCCTTCTTTGTGTTATCATATTTTACTTCGTTCCCATTAATAACAAGCTTGTAGTTGTCGTCGGTTTCAGAATGTCTAGTGTTTCTCGTAGTTATTGATAAATCTGTAGAAACAAGGGAAGTGTCCTCTTGCAAAGAACGACTACCAGGGGTCCCTTGGATATTTTCATTATTGCAGCTTTCTTCGCATTGTACCCTCTCGACTCACTCTTCAGATAGGCAGTGATCTCTATATTTTTCAATGTTAATGTTTTTACGGACTTTTATAGCAGGCTTGAGCATCGAGTACTTCGTTCACATGGATGAAATTGCAGACTTCTTCTTCAAATTTAAGAAATACGTATGATAGTAGGACTTTCTTGATTTATTGTCATTACCTTCATTCATTGTCATTCTTTCCATTCATTAAATTCGGAAAATACTTTTTTTATAATGTTCCCTGGACTTCGCAGGCAATAATTAGAGAGTTGCTTCTTCAGTTTAATTTTTTTTCAAGTTCTTTTAACTTCAAAAATGTCAATAATTTTTGCTTTCAAAAACATAAAATGTTCATTGCTAAAAGTTAATTTAAATGCTTGTTAAAAAGTCCTTGAGGCAGCATCAGTTTGGTATTAATTAAATCGATAAACTGCATTAAAATGCATGTTAACATAGAAAGGGTTGTTCTCTGGATGTAGAAAAACATGAATTGCAATTTTTTGTATTGTGTTAATGTGAATAGAGGGTGTTCGTTTTTCGAGCTCCACCATGGGGATCTCAGTTATTATAAGAGATACGAGGTCGGTTAAACTAGGGCAAAGTTGCGCATTTTTATGCTGAACAATAATCTGAAAGAAAATTTAATGTGCTATTTTTAGTTTTTGAATTATTGGAAGAAAACGGAAATTTTTTTTTACCTTAATTTATATTAATTATTATTTTCTGGAGACAAATGATTAAAAATAAAACCGCTTGGTTCCATACTTTATATTCACTCTGTATGCATATAATACATAAATGTATTTTGCTAACGAACAATAATTCTGAAAGAAACAATAGTAGAACAATTTAACAAAACAAATAACAATAAAAAAAATTAAAGCAATAATAGCAGAGTACAAAATTTCGCTCACGTTTACTTAGGTAATTTGTTTATTTTCCTTGCTTTTAAATTTGCAAAATTTTGGATAACGTTATCTATGTTTAGTTTTTTAGCGACATCGTATTCTATTGACTAAAATGAACAAATTTGTAAGCCTTTCTTGATTCATAGAGTTCCATAAATAATTTTTATTAATTTTAATTTAGAAAAGGATATCTCCGCTGATGCGACGGTGACAGGCAGAGTTAAATAGAGTAAAGAAGAAAAATTCTGCAGTTTTTTGTTTTTTATTGCATTGGCTTATAATAATTTATTTACACCCTTTACAAATTTTTAAACTATTACTATTATTATTTTGGAAAGGGCCCTTTATACAAGGGCCCTCCCGCGACCGCGGGCTTTGGCGGGTGGGTAGTTACGCCACTGTTCGCAAAACACAACAACACAAAGTTATAAAAGATGCTCGAATGCACCACCTTCAAAATTTTGTTTGTTAATTAAAATTGTTGTCGTTTTTTCCAAAGCATTCTTCCTGAAAACACTCTTCCTTAATTTTAAATAGCATGTAAAATTTGATCATATCGTGTGATACATCGTTGTAATCAGCAACAACAAGGCTTTTCAAAAATAAAGAATTCAAATATGGCGTCCATAAGAAAATCTAAAGTTGAGTGTTGTAACTCTGACATCAACAGCGCCTTGGAAAATACGATGACAGATTTAGATTCCTTGTAGAAAAGTGCTTTAAGAACGTCCTAGTTAAAAACGTCTAGGTTTTTTAGTTTTCGATTGAAAAAATAAAAACGAAAATTACAAATTTCCGTTTTTTTCCAATAATTCAAAAATTAAAAATGACATATTTAATTTTCTTTCAGATTATTGTTCAGCACAAAAATGCACAACTTTGCTCTAATGTAACCGACCTCGTATCTCTTCTAATAACTGAGATCCCCATGGTAGAGCTTGAAAAACGAACATCCTGTATAAATAAACGTGATTTTTAAATGTTAAAAGATCTATTGCATCTATTTCATTATTCACTTACGAATATGCAGGGACTTTTTTTAACACTGAACATAGCCTTATGTTCAGTTTTAAAAAAACACAAATCCCAATGGATTAATGTCATTCAGTGATGGTCTCAGTAGTCTACAATTTAAAAGCAACGAAATAAAAAATTTCTTTATTTAAATGAAGATGATGACAAGATTAACATAAAAATACAGGCAGATACACCATTAAATACTTCACAGCAAAAAAATGAAGATATAGCAAATAAAGTTTTGCTGACAATTACAAGAAAAATACAGGCAGATACACCATTAAATACTTCACAGTAAAGAAATCAAGATATAGCAAAAATTTTCCTGACAACTACAAAGTGGTATCGATATAACCTGCTAAAAAAATTTTAGGTCATTAGAGGGATACAAGTCCGGAAATTTTTATTCTCATAGGTCAAAAATAATGGAGATTAACATAAGGCTATGTTCAGAGTTAAAAAAATGTCCTTGTTTACTAATATAACTTCCATGTGGCACCTAGTTATTCTAATTCCACTCCTGCAAACACACTCCCAGTGGTGTTTTTATAAAAAAAAATACAGAGTGTTTGTAAACCTTATTAGATCAAATCTCTTATTGATTATACTACTACGTTGTTTGGTTCAAAAACTTGTTTGGTCAGAGATTTTGTAATAACGTAAACCCATTGCTTTTTTAAGCTTTTTTATAAGAAGCCACAAAATAAAGCGGAAGATCTCATTTGTAGGTATTATAAAATAAGTTGTTCCACAAACATTTGTACATACCATACTTACACATATAGCGACATTTCAATTATTAGTACCACATATATTTTATTGGAGTTTTTCTACTATCTTGTTTTTTTTGTTCTTTTTTTTATGGCTTTATCATCTTAGTTGCATATATTTGGTGTAAAAAAAAAAACATATTTTATTCAATATTTGGGTAAAGTGGTATTGTAAATGCCTATACAAAGATTTTAAAATACAAGATTATAAAGAGTTTTATCGGTGGAAAGCGTTTTTATTTTATATTCAAATGTTCAACAGTTACCAAACTGGACAAATGCACAAATATTCCGTACAACAAGTTGACAGTTTTTCTGTATGTACTCAACGTCCCAGTTCTTGTAACTTAAAATTACAAATTTCAATTTTTTTTTAACTTTTTACATCATTTACGGCACTGTTTCTGCTACTTCATGAATGTTAATAACAACCTTGCTACTGTTTATGCTCCAGAAAAAAACTAGTATAAGCTTAAATACATTATGGCCATTTCGAAGATTTGTCGTTGCTGTAAAGAAGCCACACCCGCAATAAAAAGCGGTTCCAGTGACTGACATCGCAGCATTCTGCACAGACTCTCCTTTATCTTATGCACTTTAAGACCATATCTACATAACTGCATAAAATAATTGAAAAAAAAACTCTCAACGCGACATCTTTATTTTCTTCATTCTTCATCGCGGTCGCTTAACAAGTTTATTCTTTCGTTTCTCACCGAAGTGCACAGTTTAGAATTCTAGTTTTTGAGCAATTATTGCAGACATTACGTAAGAATCACAGGGTCATTGAATGTTGTTTTATGTTTAGCTGACCTCCAAAATAAAATAACGCATTTGGTCTAGGCACCTAGGTTGGAGAACTTCTTTGAAGGTGACTTTGTGCAGCGAAGATGAGTCTTTATAATTTGGATATTAGAGAACAAAATATGACAAACATAATTCTATTCATGTTATATATTTATATTTACATTTATAGATTGAGTGAATCCTAAGCACAATTTTCATCACTTAACTAATAGCACTTGAATAGTCGGCAATGGCCCTTCTGGTTGGCTTCCTGCCAGATGGCACTACCAATTTCAAACGTGATTTTTTAAACTGACTGATATTGTAGCAGTAGAGCCAACTTTTTAAACCTATTTAAATGATGGAAACCACAGTTTTATACCGGTATATTATGAAGCTGTTTCTAGATTATCTAACAATGTTCTGATCGTTCCAATTCTGTTATCTATTTTGTGGCGTTACATTGTCGTCATCTCATATTTCGGGGATAACCTAATCGATCAATAAATCCCAGAGCTCTGGAATTTTTTTAAAGTTGCGAGGTGTTGCTACCATTAATAGCGATGTACACGGTGGCAGTGTGGTTAGCTGGTTGTGTTTTTTTTATCACGACCACTATCCATACTCCCTCCATGAATATCGTTAAACCAACCAAATTATGTTTAGTAAGCTGTCGTAATGACGTCAGCAGTTTTAATTGATCAAAAATGGTGGATGCGCCATTGTATCGAGAATTACTTTAACATTTCTTTTTTTTTACAGGGCTGCTTATGTGTCATTTGGAGGCCTTCTGATGCGACTGCAAGGGGACGCCAACAACTTGCACAGTTTTGAAGTAGACCAACACATGTATTTGTTGATGAAGAAGATCTTTATGTAATTTTTAAGGCTGAACATTTTTTGTACAAGATTTTTAAGATTTTAAAAATAAAATGTAAGAGACAAATGTGGTTTTGTTAACGCTATATTAGATAGACCGTAAAGAAGTTTGTCCAGAATTGGTAACTGAAGAAAAAACAGACTAAAAAAATTAACACCACTATTATAATCCTTGTTAAAATTAACATTCTTGGAAAAATTGTAAACACGTACTAAAAAATATTTGTGCTAGATAAAAAAAAAATGCTTTACTACTCTTTGAATTCGTGCAAAAATAGTTTTAACAATACTTCAGTTGTTGGCCTATCCCGATCTGTTTTAATTTTATAAATTTTTGAATTACATATTTGCAATTAAATCACAATTTGAGGCACTTTTATCTCTAGAAATAGGTCTTTTGGTACACTTGGTTGCAAAAAAATCGGAAAATGTCAAAGCATAAAAATGTCAGATTTTTTATTTAACCATAGTTTGAACATGGCTTAATTCTAAAAGGTTAAGTTAGAACTGACAGTTAATCTCTAATACTCACTACTCATTGCGTTTTCACGTAAGTACTCAATTAATTGATTATCTTCATTTGCATTTGATGCTTGCGGCATTTAAGTGCGGCATTGCAGAAAAAATTATTTGAATGCGACAGATGACAAATTATCAAGGCCAAAACCTGTTTTAGTCTAATCTAAAGAAAATTGTATTTTCCGTTTTTATTGCAACTAACTGTACTTAACAAAATTATACATATATTTTAAGTTGATGACCACATTTTTTTTTTAATTAAACATAGACTCAAGTTTTGTTTTTCAGAATGCGCTTCAATGTAAATGACACATTTATGTCATTATTTTTGATAGTAACAAATACACCTAGGAAATCTTTTCTTAGGCATCCTGTATCTAAATATTTTGATTGAACTACTGGAAGCATCAAAAAACATCGACGAGTTAAGTTGATGTCGTAGTATCGGAAACAATGCGATAACAAAGATTACCAATGCATTTTAATAGTGTTGAAAAAAAAATTACATTCGGTATAATGAACATTCGACCACTGGAGTCTTACCTGCGCAATGCATGTCCCCCACCACTAATCAGTTTGACAGCTGTAAATGTCAAATGCAAGTCGAATGAAAACAGATGATTATTCTTGAAAAAACGTAGTTCAGATTATTTTATTTATTATTTCTACAATAAAATCAGTCCAATATGGATCCCGCCTTATTAAAAGAAAGAGAATTATTTAAAAAACGTGCACTTACAACTCCTACGTGAGTACAAGTATTTTGGCCAACTTGTTCACTACTATTGGTCTACTTTCAGTGTAGAAAGAAAAAAGACTGATTCAAGACCAGAACCAACTCGAGATGATAGCAAAAGGTTTAAGTCTTCTAGTAGTAGCACTCCTAAACTTGATATCAACACGTAGGAAAAAAACATTAAAAATGTGAATAAGTCGTTACATTGTAATTTTTATAGATACAAAACAGCAACAGGAAGTTCGCAATATCGATTTGGTGTTCTTGCTAAGATCGTGAAACATATGAGAAAGAGGCACCAAGAAGGTGAAACATATCCACTCACATTAGAGGAAATTTTAGATGAAACTAATCAGTTAGATGTAGGGAATAAAGTCAAGCAAGTAATTTTGTTTCATTATTGCAGTACTTAAATGTAATGGAGTTTTTTAAGTGGCTGCAAACTGAAGCGTTAGTAGATAATCCAAAAATTGAGGTTACTTCTGATGGAAAGTTTTTATTCAAAGCTCCATATAAGTTAAAAGACAGAAAAAGCTTACTGAAACTATTGAAACAACAAGATTTAAAAGGGTTAGGTGGCGTATTGTTAGATGATGTACAGGAGTCATTGCCACACTGTGAAAAGGCTTTAAAGGTAATTTCCTTGCATAAAATGTTTAATAGGTACATGGTTCATATGTCTTAATTTTAGATTCTTCAAAATCAAAATGAAATAATTTTTATAACTAGGCCAATAGACAAGAAAAAAGTTCTTTTTTACAATGATAGGACAGCCACTTTACCTATTGATGAAGAATTTCAAAAGCTTTGGCGTTCTGTTGCCGTGGATGCCATGGATGATGCAAAAATAGATGAATATTTAGAGAAACAAGGAATTAGATCAATGCAGGATCATGGACCTAAGAAACCAATAGCTCCAAAGAGGCACAAAACGAGTCAACGCAAAAAGACTTTTAAGAAACCTAGAGATAACGAACATTTGGCTGATGTTCTGGAAACCTATTCAGATAACACACTTACTCAAAAGAATTCTGTATAATTTCAATAGTCAAATAAATTCATATGTTAAATAAGTTGTAGTTTTGATTATAAAATACGTAGGTTTTTGATAATTAAATAGATAGCACTGCTCTTCCTGTCACTTCACACTTATCTAATTTTTTTATTCGCGTCTAAGTATTTGATCAGAAATATGAATTTTTCTCCTTTGTTATTATTAATTATTACGAAATTAATTTATTGTGATGAACGGAGTGGCAGAGTTCGAAGAATTGTCGGCGGAGAACCGGCTGTACCACCCCCTGAAGACGAACCTGTAGTGTTTACTAGATTTGGTGGAAAAACGGCAAGAGTTTTAGGTGTTAGAGACTTTCCACATTACGTTTTTCGCGGTATCAAATATGGTCTTGCTCCCGTTGGCAAAGAAAGATTTCTTGTAAATAATCTTTAATACTTATAATGTTTGCACCAAATAAAATTTTTAGAGACCACGACAATATTTTTTGCAAGGGTTTGAAAATGCCACGCAGTTTCCGCCGCCGTGTGTTCAACCAGTTCCTGGTGAAGATAAAGTCATAGGGAAAGAGGATTGTTTATTTCTTAACGTTTTTAGCCCAAGTCTTCCTACAGGAATGGAAGGTAGGTACTTAATTTAGAGTTGAGGTCATTTGAATAGTTATTTGATGATTAATTTAGGACTTCCTGTTATTATATGGATTCATGGTGGCGGTTTTCGATATGGATCGGCGTCTCAGTATGGTGTAAGTTTTTATTTAACATTCTAGAATTTCATGAAAAATATTGTGTTGATTTTTTTGAACTCCCATATGGTCAATTCAAATTAATGGTTTTCTAATACTGCATAAAATAGGTAAAACTTAACTACATTTAAACACGTGGACCTACGAGTTTTATTTCACAAGAATATCGTCTTTCTAACTATGCGAACAATTTTTTTCTTTATGTTCCTGCTGAAATATCAATTTATAAATCAGACTGAAAATGGACATTTGTATCTTAATAATTGGAATTTCCAAATTTCACTGAAATAACCTTTTGGTATCTTAAATGCTTTATTACCACATGTGACGAGACCCTTTCTGGTCCATTCTGTAGATAGACACAGCTGGAACAGGATTAAATAAGAATTAGTGATACCTACCTAGTGGGTTGGCAAATGACAACCTCTATTACCTACTTTGAATAATTGTTATATTGTAACTAAACGTGGTTGTCAGCCTGCCGACAAAGAATTCCTTGTAATAAATTCCAGATGTTTACCAAAAATGCAACACTTTTCAACAATAAACCCATAAAATTTGACGATAAAGTAAATTGCAGTAGAGAATAGCTGCTGCTACCCCTAAAAAGGTGCACATAAACGTTCCTTGACACCAGTAATAACAGAGAACTCGGATTTTTTTCCTAGTTTTAGAATTTTAAAGAAAATAAATTAAAAACAAAAGCTTTCATTTTTTATTAAAAGTAGAAGAAACGATTTATGGTTATTTTTGTCACTATACATATATTTATGCTGCTTAATAATAAAATAAATCAGACATATTAATATTTTGAAGGAAATAAGTTTTATTTCAACGTATATTCACTTTATTTTTCGAACTACTAATAATGCGAACTACAACAAATGACTCATCATTATGATAACAGTGCTGGAATTTCTAAAGTTACTAGAACTATTTGTTTCGACTTGGTTCCATATTTTGGAGAATACGGGAAGTACGGATGTGATTTTTGCACCAATTGTTAGACTTTCGAAATACGTTTATTGATCTATGAAGTTTGTGCCCTTAGATTTTCTTTCATGAAGTCCTTGAATGGTAACTTTATCGTCACATTGTAATATAACGCGCCTTGTACATTTTCATAATGACTAAATAATAAAATGACCAAGATTTTTACCAATACCTGGATATCAACCATTTGAAACGCATAAACATTGAACAGAATACCGATGAAACATATTGTGGGTTTTGAAATACCTATGTATCATGTGTTTATGAAGGGGCCCAACGTGATAATAATCTTTAACAGTTATTCCACAGTCGACAGTCGTCATGAAAAAAAGGAAAATTGCACCTACTTATAAAATACTGTCGAAAGCAAAAAAGTGCCATCGACAAACTCGACTTGCCTTTCGTTATTGGTCTGGAGGATTTCAGGTTTTTTTTTTATCACATTGGGTGATGGATATTATTCGCCATCCGGTAACTTTCTTCGACGACTTTACAACTTGTTTTACAACTTCTGAAATTTTAAAACCAATATCAAGTCCAGATGGTCCACTACCTATGTCGCGTCCTTATTTTCTCATAATAATTTATAATTTGTATTTAGTTAATTTAAAGAGAGCGTTGACATTCGGCCCTAGTTTCGGTTGTTAAGAAAAACAAAATGTTTTATGTTAAAAAACAAGGTTTCGGTTTATGTTTGGTTTTTTCGTGTGAATTATTTGTATTTGTTGGAATCACTCGTCTTGAAACTAGAAAGTGATAATATTGGAAATTGCTCAGCAGAACCGCAGATTTTAAAGAATTAGTGAAGATTCCTATCATCCCAACCTCTTTCCCTTCCTTTCCTATTTTCCTACCTCATCCTTTTGGTTGGGAGCACTCAAAGGTAGGAATTTTCATTTACCTCTTCCCTATCGTTGTCTCCGCCGCGAAACATTGGTCCTTCGAGCCGGATTGTCTCGTTTCAAAATATCACTCTGCGTTGTAAACATAACCTCTCTATAAACATAAACATAACCTCGCTTTTATCAAGTGGTGGCATTGGTAAAGTTGCTCAATATCCCATTTATTCGACTGCAATATTTTTAAATTTGCCAATAAGTATTTATCGCATTCTCGACGATGTCTCAGGCAAAATTTAAAAAAGCTGTTGTGTTACGCAAGGTCGCTGTAGATCAGTTGTCCGATTTAAAAGACATTGCGGATCGGGTTTCAAGAAAAGAAGAATTGTACGAGAGTTTGTACCCGGAACTCAAAGCCCGATATAATTTCATAGAACGCATGTATTCAGATTTTTATCTATATCATAATGAAGTTTTAAAAGAATTAGCTGGTCTCGACGAAGAAACTGAAGAGCATGACACCATTCGTAAATCTTTTGATCGCGATTATTTTAGCATTCAAATTATTTATAATGAAATATTTCAAAATTCTGTTCATACTCAAAATTTAAATTCGGATACGCCATCACAATCAGATATCACAATTAAAAACCACGTTAAATTGCCTCCGATGGAATTGTATAAGTTTGACGGGGATATTAAATCATGGAGAACATTTATTGATATGTTTAATTCCACCGTACATAATCAAAATGCGCTTACAAACGTTGAGAAATTTAGTTATCTCATCTCGACTCTCAGTAAAGAACCGCTCTCGATCGTCAGTAGAATCCCAATGACTGACCAAAATTATAGAACCGCATATGACGCCCTAATTAAGAGATACGAAAATAAACGTTTGTTAGCTACATCTCATTGGCAACAACTCGAAAATTCGCCCCGCTTACCCGACGACTACACTCCATCGCAGTTAAGGTCTTTGATTAACACATTCGAYGAAAATCTGGCAGCTCTCAAAACTCTCAATTTTCCCGTTGACAACTGGGACTTCATTCTATTTAACATGATGTTAAAACGCATCCCCCCATCGCTAGTAACTCGGTTTGAATTGTCGCAAACATACCCCGCTGATATTCCCTCATATCAATCGCTGAATGAATTTGTCATTACAACTTGCCAGGCGAAGGAAAATGTATCGCACGCCATAATAAAATCTCCTTACTCGAAACCGAATATAGTTTCATCCCCTAAACCAAAGTTTAAGTCTAATTTTTTGGTTAAATCAGATTTTTTGGCATGTCCACTCTGTCCCGATTTGCAACACGGAATTTATAAATGTCCGATTTTCTTACAGAAGTCTCCTCAATCGCGCTTTGATCTCATTAAACAGTATAAATGGTGTATTAATTGCCTAGGCTCAAAACACAATTTGCGTAACTGTAACTCTACGTCGCTTTGTCGTGAATGTGGAAAAAAGCATCACTCATTACTGCATTTCCCGGGTGATGCAAAAGCTCAAACCTCGACTTTCATGGAAATTAATAAACCTTCATCGCCTTCAACTTCTACCTCTACGCAGCAAACAGTTAGTTCATTTACGAATTTGCTACCTGTTAATACTCGTACGACAATTCTATTGTCAACCGCAGTCGTTGAGATCCTGGATAAAGTGGGCGCAGCACATAAAATTCGCGTTTTATTAGACAGTGCTAGCCAGTCCAGTTTTATTACTGAAAAATGTGTCAATCGTCTTCGACTTCTAAAACAAAGATTGTCATTTACGATCAATGGTTTAGGAGATATGAGAACTCGCGCTAATAAAATGGTTACTTGTGCTCTACGCCCGGTACAACAAAACTCCCCACAGTTTCTGGTTGATGCTATAATAGTTCCAAAAATTTGCAGTAACGTTCCTAATGTTGCTCTACACACTTCGTCGTGGTCTCATATTGTCAATTTGAAACTGGCTGATGAACAATTTCACACTCCTGGAGAAATTGATATGTTATTGGGTGCCGACCTCTTTCCGCTTATTTTTGACTCTGAGTGTATACAGGGTGGCGCAAATGAACCAACCGCAATAAAAACAAAATTTGGATGGATTCTAATGGGGAAGGTAGCAATCAAATCACATCAAATCGACCAAAACATAAACTCGTTTCACTTGACAATGGAGCAAGCCGAATTAAATGAATCGGTTAAAAGATTTTGGGAAATAGAGGAACCTCCTAATAGTCATAATTCTTCTCAATCGTCAGAGGACAGATTGGTGGAAGAAACGTTTGAATCAAAACATTATCGCGATAATTCTGGCCGCTTTGCAGTTCCTTTATTCTTCAAATCTAATGAAAATTCATTGACTTTTCCGGGTTCATTCTCCATCGCATTACGTCGTTTTTTGTCATTGGAACGCCGACTTATTCAAAATCCATCACTATACACTGAATACGTGACATTTATGCAAGACTATCTTTCTTCTGGTCACATGCAAGCATCTACATCGTCCTCATCTATCGGCTATTACATCCCACATCATTCTGTAATCCGGATGGATAGCCCAACAACCAAACTCCGGGTCGTCTTTGACGCTAGTTGTAAGTCTGCAAGTGGAATTTCTCTCAACGACTCCCTGTTGGTTGGCCCTAAATTGCAAAGCGATCTCTTCCAAATTCTCGTCCGGTTTCGTTTTCACTCACATGTACTCATTGCTGACATTCGCCAAATGTTTCGCCAGATTCTGATTCTTCCAGAACACCGCCATTTTCAAAAGATTCTTTGGCGTTTCGCGCCTACTGACCCTATTCAAGAGTTCCAGTTAAATACAGTAACATATGGAATAGCTTGTTCGCCATATTCAGCCATTCGCGTTATTAAGAGACTGGCTGAGTCAGATACAGAATCTGCCTTTCCGCAAGCTTCTCGTATATTGTCTGAAGACATTTATGTTGATGACATCATTACTGGCTGTCCTTCAATTGAAGAAGGTCTTCAGATTCGCAACGAACTTATAACTTTATTAGATCGTGGTGGCTTTCAATTGCGCAAGTGGGCCAGTAATGCTCCGGAATTGTTGGACGGAATTCCTCCTGAATTTTGTAATACTCACCCTCTCAATTTTGATCAGGAATCAAATTCATTTATTAAGATTTTAGGCCTCAAATGGGACCCACTAAGTGACTGTTTTGCTTATCAAATTACCCCTTCTAAGCACTCGTGCACCAAACGTTCATTACTCTCTGAATTAGCTCGAATTTTCGATCCGGTGGGTTTCCTGGCACCTCTCACATTTTTCGCCAAGCGTATGATCCAATATTTATGGACTCTCGGACTCAGTTGGGATGATGCTCCTCCTGCTGACGTGGTAGCTCGATGGTCCGAATTTACCTCACAAATGTCATGCCTAACTGAATTGCATATTCCTCGCAAGGTAACCCCGAATGAGACTGTTTCTTGTTGGCTTCATGGATTTTCTGACGCGAGTGAAGCTGGTTATGCAGCCGTTGTTTACTTAAGAACCATGTCTTTTACTCAACAAGTCAATGTCAAACTGTTATGTGCTAAATCCAAAGTTGCTCCTTTTAAGAGGATTTCTATTCCCAGACTTGAATTGTGCAAAGCTAATGGAGAGTGCAATCGCTACACTGAATGGTACGATTAAAATCAATGGAATTTTTGCATGGACAGATTCCACTGTGGTTTTGAATTGGGTTCGTTCTTCTCCACACACATGGAAAACCTTTGTCAGCAACAGAGTAGCTCAAATTCAAAACGTGATTCCTGGTTCATCTTGGTATCATGTGTCATCTTCAGAAAATCCCGCAGATTGTGCAAGTCGTGGATTAGCTCCTAGGTACCCAGCTAGTCTCACATCCTTTATGGTGGGCGGGACCTCCATGGCTTCTTGATCCTAAGAACGAATTTGACTCGTCTTCTCCATTATTAGACCTTCCCTCAGAGGCACAACAAGAAATGCGAAAATTTGTATTGGTCTCAGAAATCAATTTTGACATTATTGACACGCTCTTAAATAAATTCTCATCTTTACACAAAATCAAGGCTATCATTGCATGGTGTCTTCGTGTTGCTGATTACGCTCGCCATAGAACCCGTCGCCCTCTGTCATTAACAGAAATTGAATTGCAAAATGCTCTACACATTCTCATAAAACATGTTCAAGCTTATCATTTTGCAGACGCAATCGAAACTTTGCCTGACAAGGTGCGTTCTAAGCATTTTCGTAAATTGTCGCCTTTCATAGATTCTCAGGGACTTCTTCGTGTTGAAGGACGTCTTATGCACGCAGATTTAGGCTACGACGCAAAACATCCCATTTTATTACCCTCTAATCATCGCTTAACTGACCTTATAATTGAAGACATGCATCGTCGTCATCTTCACCCTGGTACTCAAACTCTACAGTATCTCTTGCAACAACAATTCTGGATTTTAGGCGCTAAAAGACGTATATCACGCGTAATTTCCCATTGCTATCGTTGTTGGCGTCTTAACCCAAAACCTATTCAACCTCCAATGAGTGACTTACCTAAACTTAGAGTTTCTCAAATAAAGGCCTTTGCGTGTGTTGGTGTTGATTTTGGGGGGCCATTTCACATTACTATGGGAAAATATCGTGGTTGCAAGTCTCAAAAATGCTACATTTGCCTTTTTGTATGTTTCACTACAAAGGCGCTACATCTCGAATTGGCAACGGACTTGTCAACCGAAGCGTTTTTACGCGCATYGAAACGCTTTATAGCTCGTCGGGGCAGGCCGACATATATCTTTTCTRATTGCGGTACTAATTTTGTAGGGGCTGCAAAGGAACTGAATTCTTTAATGGAAGGAGCTGTAGTAGCCGAACGCTTAGAATGGCATTTCAATCCTCCCTCTGCCCCTCACTTTGGTGGGCTCTGGGAGGCCGGAATAAAATCTGTAAAAGGGCATTTMGCTCGGGTCATCGGRGAACAAATCTTAACATATGAAGAACTCTATACTGTTCTTACGCAAATTGAAGCACTAGTTAACTCGCGGCCGCTCTGTCCTCTTAGTTCAGACCCTAATGATTTATCGGTGCTATCGCCAGGACATTTCTTAACTCTTGAGCCCGTCTCCGCATTGCCAGATGTTGATTTGAGCCACTTAAAAACCAAATTTTTGCATCGTTGGCAGCTTTTACAGCGTCTTCACCAGGATTTTTGGTTTCGGTGGCATCACGAATATCTTCAAACGCTACAACAACGCGGTAAATGGTTGTCTCCATCTTATAATTCTGTTGCTTTGGGAGATATGGTTGTAATTAAAAATGAATTATTGCCACCGGCCCAATGGAAATTARCTCGTGTCCTCCAGACGCATCCTGGTGCAGACGGAATTGTTCGCGTCGTTACATTGCGCACTTCACAAGGAGAAATGAAGCGACCAGTGGTAAAAATTTGCCCTTTGCCAATGTCTCCGCTTGCTTAATAATAATTAAAACTCTCGTTTTAGGTGGGCGGAATGTCGCGTCCTTATTTTCTCATAATAATTTATAATTTGTATTTAGTTAATTTAAAGAGAGCGTTGACATTCGGCCCTAGTTTCGGTTGTTAAGAAAAACAAAATGTTTTATGTTAAAAAACAAGGTTTCGGTTTATGTTTGGTTTTTTCGTGTGAATTATTTGTATTTGTTCGAATCACTCGTCTTGAAACTAGAAAGTGATAATATTGGAAATTGCTCAGCAGAACCGCAGATTTTAAAGAATTAGTGAAGATTCCTATCATCCCAACCTCTTTCCCTTCCTTTCCTATTTTCCTACCTCATCCTTTTGGTTGGATTCTACGTGGGAGCACTCAAAGGTAGGAATTTTCATTTACCTCTTCCCTATCGTT